GTTCCTTCAAAAACTGTGTGCAAGTGTACCTAGAAAAATTGATGCTGTTTTGAAGGCAAAGCGTGGTCGCACCAAATATTGATTTGATTTGAATTTCTCTTATGTTTGCGCACTCTGCTTTTTGTAAATTGATAAACATAAACAATTACAATATATATTTTTGAAAGCATCCTTTACAGCTTTTTTTCACAACTGCCTAAAACTTTGTACAGTACTGTATATTTAAACTGACTTAGAATTACATTAAAGAATTCCTGATAGTAGAGTTTCATGCCAATGTTCCTGAACTGGTTCCTGTACTTTGCAACAACAGCAGCAATAATTAACAGAGATTCCACTATATTCTAAGAACTGTAATATAATAAATAAATTAAGATGCTTCTTCCTTGCTTAAATTCATTATAACAAAGAGATATACAGTGGTAAAAACATTAAAGACAGCATAAATATCAGCCAATATCATTGGAAAGAAAAGAGAATGGTATTGCTATAGAGCCATCTGTAAATTCTACAGCATGTATCAGTTGTCTCCCATGGGGAGGTCTGCATATATGGTAACTATCAGAGAAGTAGCTGTCACAGAAGTTCCTTATTTAATGGAGTTGCCCGTCCATTTGGAACATGCATGGTATATTCATTAATTAAAGCTGATGTATTTTTAAGCATCTCGTGGAACATGTCCATAGTTTTTCTGTAATTACTTCGTTGCAGTACAAAGGGGCGGAAAAGGTTCAGTGGTTCTGCCTTTCGGAACTCCACTGGTACACCCAGTTCCTGTGGCAGATTCCTGTTTCCAATGAAAAAGTGGTAAAGCCTTTTTTCTTGCAAGCTTTTCTCCAAAAAGTTGAGTACATCTTGCAGCCTGGCCTCTAGACAGTCAGAAGCCCAAGCTGAACTAGGATGGATCTGTAGCAAATGCAGCATTACTGTTTTCAAATGATAGTTTGTCAGGCTACTTGGTTCTGTTAGACTGCACTGCTTTCCATGAAGGAAAGACAGAATCTGGAGGCAACTGAGGTGGCAAGGATTAGCAGGCAAAGTTTTGGAAATAAACTGGATATATCTCTTCTCATACACAGTAAAGGTGAGAAACCAGTGAGTGCTGCTAGTGAAACTCTCTGCCAAGCTGTTGAATGGAAAGTGAGAGATAAAATATACATCAGAATCTGCATATTGTACCACAGGCCTGAGGTTGAATGTGATGGTCTTTCCAGACCTGAACTTGATTTTCAGGGCCCCAGGAGTATCCAGGTGATTGAAAATAAGACTGAACTCATACTTGTGTGCAATTTTATTCCATCCCTTGGTAAGTGCAATCTGGAACCATGTCATAACCTGGTCAGAGTCAAGATATTGAGTGTCTTTGAAGCAAAGGAGATCTTCCATATGGCTATTCTGCTTAGATTGATTCACTCTGCTATGAAGCAGACACAGTAAATCTTCCCCCAGCTTAGTTTTACCACAGATACAACTTGATGAGTTCTCATCTGCCCGGAGGATCTTTATCATACCACAACTTTCTTTGTCTGATGGAACAGACTCTCCTGAACACCAGGTCTCAAACTGGAAACAGTACGGCTCTGGAGGAGTAAAGGGGACAATGAAATCACAAGTGAAAGGCTTGTAAGCTCTCCAGTTTTCATACATGCTCCCAACTCCTATAGACTCCTCCACTTCCATGTCAGTATCTCGGTTACACACACTTCTCAAAGCTTCTAACAAGTCATCTGCAAAGCCTTCCACAAGTTCTCGGTTCCTAGCAATATCACTTGTCACATTCTGGAGGCATCTTTCATAAAAACTGACCAATGTGACTTTGTCTGGTAGGATAAAACCCTTGAATGTTTTTCCCAGGACATTAATTTCATCATCTTCATTGGTATAATCTTGCCAGTTCCCTTCCTGGTAATCCTGCCTCCAGAATTCAATCAGAAGGAAGACTATCATGGACAAAGCAGTCCAGAAATTCCAAGAAAGTGAATCATGGTCATGCTGTTTTTCTGGCCCAGTCTTTTCCTCTGAAGAATCTAGTGAAACTTCTTGTGCTTCTAACTCTTGCTCCAGTTTCAGCTGCTCTAACCTCAGGTTCTCCTCACGCTCTTTCATCTTTTTGATGAGTTCCTCTGCGTTTTCAAAAACTGTGACATTTTCCTTTGGGAAGAGGAGTGGATGGTTGATAATTGCTGTGATTACCACCAAGCACACCCGGAAGAATCCTGCTGGCATAGTAAAATCTTACCTGTGAGAGAGACAAAGAAATACAGTCAGCCTTGCTAATAATATATATGGAGTCCTTGGTGCTCTCTGAGCTTGGTTGTTTGCTTGCAGAGGTTTCATTACCTGCCTAGGTAACATTATCAGTGCCCTGATGCAGTGCACTGATGTTACCTACTCAGGTAATGAAATGTCTGCAAACAAACAACCAAGCTCAGAGAGCACCAAGGACTCCACAGTTCAACCCTGAGCTACATATATTATCTGCTATTGGAATATGAATCTCTCTCTCCCCCCCCCTCTGGATAACAGGAAGTGACATTGCTGAGGCCCTATAGCAATCTTCATTTGCCTGCTCCCTGTAAACGTGTTAGGACGGCATCTCCAGAATTGGTAGCTGGGAATTTTTGAGCTTTAGTTCTAGAATACCTGGATGATGGCAGGCTGGGTAGGTTTCTATCTGGCGCAGGATACTTAATCTGTTGACTATCCTTGTTCTGATTTTATGGAGGGAGCTGCCTTCCCAGAGGAAGCGGATTATTTGGACCCATTTCAGATGGTTTGATGATGGGGTTTTGGATGGAGATGGCATTGAAGTGCTTGTTGATGACCTGGGGTAGAGCTGGGATGGGGTTGGTGTGTCCGGGCTTTCGATACTGTCAATCATGATATTTTTTTGGATTGGCTTCAGGGCTTGGAGGTGGGAAGCACTGTTTTATGGTGGTTCCCCTCCTTTCTCTGTGGCCAGTTTCAATCCAGGTTGACAAGTGGGGGGAGATCATGGCCATAGTCCCTCACTTGTGGGGTGCCTCAGAGCTTGACCTCTCTCCTGTTCTATTTAACATCTACATGAAACTGCTGGGTGAGGTTATCTGCTGCTTTGGGGTCAGGCATCATCAATATGTAGATGATATCCAGTAGTATATCTTGACCCCTGGCCAGCTGAGTGATGCAGTCAAAGTCCTGGCCCAGTGCCTGGAGGCTGTGTGATTCTGGATGGGGAGAAACAACTCAATTAAGACCAAGTGGCTATGTCTGTTGGGCCCTTGGATCTGGAGGTATTGCATTGCTGACTCTGGGTGGCCTATAAATTAAATAAATATGTAGGGTCTTAACTTTCTTGGTTCTGAGTTATTCACTCTTAAATGCAACCTTGATGTGGTAGTTACAGTATTTCCATGGCAACAAGAGAGGGCCATGGTAGTACAAGTTTCCTTTATTTACAAGCATATGACATACAGATGTGTAACCTGGGTTTGTACATGTGTGTATGTATGTACATAAGTATGTATGTGTGTGTATATCTATATATCTAGATATAAAATCTGTATAGCCACCCATCTCACAAGAAGTGACTCTGCACAGCTTACAACAAATAAAAAACAATTATATGAATACAATCATTATAAAAAATAAATACAATCATTATTAAAAGTTTGTATTAAAAAGTAAGATATACAAACCACAGGAATGGAGAGAGAGAGAATATAACAATAATCAGCAATGAAGCCACCTTAAGATGTTATTGGTTTCCTGGGTCCCCCAAGCCTAGCAACATAAGCACCAACAGGGATGGGGCTAACCTACTAGACTTTGTGGGGCAAATGTTCCATAAGGCAGGCGCCATGGTAGAGAAAGCCCACCTCCTGGGGCCCACCAAATGTAAGTCCCTGGCAGATGGTACTCGAAGCATGCCTTCTCTGCCGGATCTAATGGGATGGGCTGATGTAATTGGGGAGAAGCGGTCCCTCAGATAACCTGGCCTCATGCCATGAAGGGCTTTAAAGGTTAAAACCAGCACCTTGAATTGGACCCAGAATCAAAATGGCAACCAATGCAGCTCGTGGAGCAGAGGTGTGACATGTGCTGTTCTGGAAGCACACATAACTGCCTGCGCTGTTGCATTCTGTACCAGCTGAAGCTTCCGGATACTCTTCAATATTCCAATCTGGAGGTGACTTGGTTGAGAGAACTACATCTCCAGAGGCTACTGATCAAGCATCATATTCAGATCCAAGATAATTTCCATTATATAGTGATTGCTCGTTAGTAACAAGAACAGCACATACTAAAAGCTGTCAGTTTGTCAAACTGTGACTATA